GTCGTGATTCTGCCTGTGCCTTGCGCCATATTGTGCTTCCGTGTTTGTCGTTGTAGTTGAAAGCTTTTCGGGTGCTCAGCGCTCATCTTGAGAGCTCCAGGCTTACAGTGTCGATTCCGAGCAGCCACACTGGTTGTCCATCGGAGTTTTTCCCGAATGCGCAGCAGAAGGGTTCTCGTTTAGAGGGTGGGTCTGGGGGTTGGGGAGTTGACGCGAAACCCGTGCGGAGCGTCCGCGAGCGTCCACAAAGCGTCCGAAACCCGCCGCTAGTAGGGGATTAGCCATGAAAATGCACGGTTCCGGACGCGGCGCATGCTGTGTTTTGGCTATAGTAACAATCCCCTACTAGTGGCGGAAACTCGCTGCTCGCATTGCCTGCGTCCGAAACCCGGAGCTAGTAGGGGATTAGCCGTGAAAACGCACCGTTCCGGAGGCGGCGAATGCTGTTTTTTGCTACTAATCCCCGACTAGCAGCGGAAATTCACTGCTCGCATAGCAATCGTTGTGTTAGTCTTTTGGAGTTTTGATTTCATTTGCTACGGATGTTCGGGTATTCTGCGTCGTTTTGGAAAGCGCAATCGCATTCGGGTTCGTGGGATCCTCTCAGGTTTGAAAGTCAGCGAACACCTGGTCCTAGTTTCAGGCCCTGGCCAGCAGAGGCGTATCAAAACCTGCAGCCTGCAGCAGAGCCAGTGGCCCCAATTCTCAACCCTAAACCTACACCGCCAAAAAGCATCCCAAGTCTGTGTGTTCCTCATGGGCTTGCAACGTTTTCTGGTCAATGGCGTCGCACGGAAGGTCCAGGATGGTCTCTGTATTGCGTGCTTGCGATCATCGTTGCCGTCCGAGGCCATGGAGATTTTACACTGTATCGGCTTATGCAGTATTCCACGTTCAGTGTAATACTAGCATCAATATTCAATAGTGTCATGATCCTACGTCCTTTGCTGTTTCTACATGTTTCTACTGTGACTGTTGAACCTCCTTTCGCTTGGTTAAGAGCCGGGCATTGTCCAAGCAGTAGACCATGACATCACCTTGCACAGTATGGCACGACGAGGAAGACCAGCAGCACAATTCGCTGCAACCACTTATCTCCCTTGCTGCTGATCTGCTCTTGTCCTACCTTCCTTCTCTTGCTTGACGTCTGTTCCTCTTCTGCGTGGTGCCCCCCGACGAGCTTACACCTCGCGCCTGTTGGCCTGCTAGCGTTGCCGCAAACCCTCAATTTGAGCCTCAATCCCACTGTGAACTCTGCATCCCTGCATACCCAAATTTCTGTCCGGAAGCCATCGCACAGGGCTCGAACCAATCCTACTGCCACGCAAGACTGGGCCAGGACCCTTGCAAACACTGCCCCGGGAGCCGTCGGCCTGGTGCATCTGAGAGTTTCCGGATGACTGGCTTTGCACTTGTTCTCGTTGGTACAAGGATCGGAGGACCTTTCCGACTAAATTACCTGAGTACCGTCAGTTTGAAGAATGTGCTTGTTTCACTCCGGTCATCCATCAGGCTCTTGTCATGCGCAATGTCATGAGGAAACTTCATTGTCATTGCAGTTTGCACACAATGCTTTACACCATGCCTGCATGAATGATTTCCCCAATTTGCCTCGGCCCCGGCCGAAGCGGTTCAGGGATCCCCTGTTTCCAACCCCCCTCCTTCCTCCGGACAGACCAAGGCCAGCTCCAATGATATTGGTTGTCTGAGGCAGCTCGACTCCCCCGCCCCCCTCCACCTCTTCTCTTCCCCTTCTTTTGTCTGCTTGTTGATTTCCACCCTTGGCATGGGCGGCGGCTGCAGCTGTTGAGTTTCGAAACTGCTTGAAGGCCTCGATCACTGCTTGCCCCTGTTTCAAGACAAGGTTGAAGAAACGACACCCATCGGCCTTCTTCAGTTGCGACCAGGCCGAGGCGGGCGACGCGAAGCGTATACAACTATCCGTGACCTGCATTCACAGCTCGAATTTTACCTTGGGTTACATCCTCGGCCAACGCCACATTGACATGAGCTCGGAAACCGCACAGTCAAAGGGTGGCTTCCTGGGGCTCCTACACCTCTGGTGCAATCACACGCTCTTCGCGAGGCGAGGCCACACCTGCTAGGCGCCTTTCCGTAGCAAGTTAGGATGAACATAGGTGTGTTCTCGTTTGAGAGCAACCCCCCCTGTGATCCGAATCCGACACCCTTTCTCCACAAGCACTCGAAGTCGGCTCCCAAGCCCGGGAGAGGGAAAAGGGCTCGAAGGGTCTGGCCGAAAGCCTTCATCATCGACCAAGCCCCAGGCAAAGACAAGAGCTCACGAGAAGGCACCACAACCGGGCAGCTTCCATCGGATTCGGGTACTCACGACTCCTCCTCACTTCAGGGTATGGAATCTCGGTTTGCTCCCCCAACAGAATGACATCGTGGACATATGCCATCCGGGTTTCCCCGATTATAACCCCAAAGGCCCTGACTTTGGGCTGTGGTACTTTCCTGGTTGTAATTAGTCATTGTAGGTGGCCAGTCATTGTAGGTGGCCCGACCCTAAAGCCGAAACCTACCCACGCTCAGTGAAGAAAGCTCGGAACAGCAGACAAGTTCCCAGCTCTGCCTGCGAGGGCCTTGGAAAACATTTCCGGCTGTGCCCGCGGTGATGCTGACATGCAAAGCATGCCACACCGACCGTAAAACTCACTTTAACCGGGAAAAGAGCTTTGAGAGGTGATTCCATCCCCTTGCTTGCGGTTCGGTAGCTGTTGCTGGTGCATGCGTCTTGAGCCCTGATCACTTCTACAGTTATCTGGACCTCAATATGCACGGCTGCATGGAGGAAGATCTTGGCAAGTGCTACGAACTTCTTGCATTCCGCTCTTCACTCGAAGCTCTCCTTCACCTCCCGCCCGTGCACATGGCTCCCAAAACAATTCTTACCCGCGGAACTCCTGCGACTCAGGTCAGCTCGATTACAACTGAGGGCGATGTTGTCGATTTCCGGACTTGAGCTTCCCAGCTACAAGAAACTTTGCGTATCGTAAGCCGCATCGGTGAAACACTCCCTCCCGGCGATGCGCACTAGTTATCAAGAACACCACGGATCCCAAATGGGGCACAGGAGGGGGCAGTCGAATCATCGGATGGCTTTGGGACGATTTAATGTCTGTAGGTCTAATACAGGTTCTTCGCCTCTGCGCTTAGTTCATCATGATGGTGAAGAACACACGTGATGCCTGCATGTCAGATACAGGTTCTGTGCCCCGGCGGTTAATACACCATCATTGTGAAGAACAACTGCAACAAATAAGCACACACATACATATATATATATGTATGTATGTATGTATGTATGTATGTATGTACGCATGTATATATATATATATAGACTCATTTATTCATGTACAAAATATGTATGTATATATATATACAACTCGGTGTATACTACATCTCTGGCCAGAGCAGCTGAAGAAGTGCTGAAGAGCTCCACGGATTCCAGCGGACAGGGGAGCCGGAAGACAACAAATTCGCGAATTCCATGCTGGCCTGCGTTCCGTGCTACTTTCGCGAAGGATTCTTCTCAAGGCTGTGTGTGCTTGGTTCTAGTACCATGACATCCTACCAGCCGAAGGCGACTCACGCACCAAACCCACCACTCAGTCACTCAGAATTCAGAATAGACAAAGGCAAGGGATGGGCGCTGTGCCGCTCCAGCCTATAGGCCTTAGGCGGCCTGACCTGGGCCGCATCATGCTCCAGGCAGCAACTTCATTCTCAGCGGGAAGAACGGGCCGGGGTTACCATTTTCTCCGGTGATGTTTCTCCTAGTTAATTTGTTTCTATTTCCGAAAAAGCCAGGATTCCTACGTGTTCCTATTTTCGTCCTATTTTGGGCCATTTGCGATCTGACTAGAGTTAGCACAAGAGTCGGACATACTACTAGCAGAGCAGTAGGATTCGAAACACTAATTACTAGGAATGACGAGAGCCCAAATAACACCAAGACGCATAGCAAGCAGCCAGCGACAACCAGCACAGCAATTACTGAGGGAGGCATGAGCAAAACGACCATAAATTAAGGTCACTCCAAAGTGAACATGAATACACAGAGATCTCAACCCAGTGGCTCTGAGCGATCAGTGCTGATTGCAGCTGGCGGTCACCTCTGCCAGCGTCTGCTTCTGAATGTTTTGGGGATTGGGATTGCTTGAGGATTTGGGGATGGTCTTTCGAGTCCGTTTTCTCCTTGTCTTTCGCCGTCCTCCTCTCTGTGTCGGCCCGTCTGCCTGCCTACAGATGTCTCGCTCTCCGCCGGTCTCTGTCCATGTGTCGTCATTTTCCCTGCTTCTCCATCCAACACTTGCCGCCGCGGCGACTCCAGCACAAAACTCTTTTGGACATCTCTTGATAAAGACCCGGCCCCGGCTTCAAGGTCTAGTAACCAGTGTCAACATGAAGCAATAAAAGCCCGAAGCATCGACGGCAGAGCCAGGCTACCTTCCTCGTTCATGTCATTCTGCCAGTCCTGTGCACCCACATGAGCACTCGATCTGTTGGCATTCTCAAACTGCATGTTGAGCTTGGGGAACTGGCTGACAGCAGGGGCAAGCACGTCTAGCCCGAAATGTTCGATAAAGTCTCTTGACCCCGGCCGGCTCAAACCCATCAATCCCTCGTTGTCCATATTTCCACACCGAGTGCTGCACCGAGGTCATTCCGCATAGTTTGCACAGCTGAAGTTTGAAGATGACATGGGTCGTAGCACCAGGCGCGCCTGGATCTCGGCCTTCAAATCCTCCACTTCGCTTCGCAGTCGCCTGCAGTGGCGAGAGAAGACAAAGTGTGCAGGGAGGCTAGGAGCGCAACTGGCACCCCTTAGCCTTAGATTGAAGCGTCGAGCATGAGATCCGATAACGCCGGGAGCAACCACGATGGTGGAACCGGCCCAAACAAATCGAAACCTGGCCCCCGAAGCGCATGCCTTATGTATGGAATGTCCCCCCTAGCTGTCGCAGAAAAGGGACTCTGTGAGCTTCCTCTCGAGGTCATAGAGGAGGATCTTGTTTATCCTAGGCGGCACACTGCGCTTTTTTAAGGCAAAGGAATCCTGCTACTGCTACTCCGGTCAGAATATTGCAGAGGTAGTTGGAACACAGCAGAAGTTTGCAACTCCCCTGCAATCAACAGATCGAGCTCTGGCACCAGAATCGGAAATGCAGGGAGGCATTTGTCTTGTCGCGTTTGCAACTTTGAGCAGCCTCCCCAAACCCTAAACCCTAAACCCTAACTGCAACCTCTTCGCCAATTCCTCCCAGACTTCCGGCAAACACATCGAATACAGCTTCATCCGGAAGTATCTGAACCGCAATCCGGCCCCTAAACCCTGAGCCTTACAGTCCCAAACCCTGACCCAGGGCATTCCTCTCCGATGCTCGTAGGTGTCAGGTCTGGATTCTGGATGTAACAGCTTTGACGGACACCGGCCAGAATAATCGCCACCATCATGGTAAATGTAGTCTTTCACACCATACCCAAGGCCCATATATCTATGCGAAAAGAGTATGTACAAAGAACGTAGACAAATGAACTCGTGCAGTTGCATGTGCAGATCAAAATGACCTTTATCATTGTCGTCGTCGTCCTCGTCGTACTTGATATTTGTTGTTGTTCGCCTTGTTGTTCACAATGATGTTGTTATTGTCCGTATTCTTCATATTCGAGTTGTGATCTCCATTTGTTGCTGTTGTTGTCGCTGTTGCTGTTGCGCTATTGGTAGTGTTGGTGTTGTTATTCTTGTTGTTGTTGTTGCTGCTCCTGCTGGAGTTGTCGTCGTCGTCGTTGTCGTTATCGTCGTCGTTGTCGTTGTCGTTATCGTCGTGGTTGTGGTTGTGGATGTGGTTGTTGTTGCTGTTGTTGTTGTTGTTGCTGCTGCTGCTGCTGCTGTTGCTGTTGCTGTCGCTGTGGGTGTTGTTGTTGTCGTTGTTGTTGTTGGTGGTGTTGCTGCTGCTGCTGCTGCTGCTGCTGCTGCTGCTGCTGCATGCACACGTAACTTACACACGGCCTGTGCCAGCCAGGAATCCTCACTACCTCTTTGACGTCCTTGACCGTTGCAGGGTTCGAGCCACGCATGCCTCAGGGACTCTGCGTTCGAGGACACTGCCCCTCTTTGCGACAGCCTAAAAGAGACCATAGTATGCCACAGCTTTAATGCGTTAACGTTGTCGCATCTGCTAGAATGAGACCTCCTCCCCGTCGTCTCCGTGAGCCGATGCCGAGGGTTCTGTAGGTCCTAGACCAAAGCCGTGCCACAAAACCTTTCTTAAGTTGACTCTGATGCCTTAGACCAAGAAGCTCAGGACCAACTCCACCATCTCTTCAAACTGCATTCCCATCTGACCCTTCCTCTGAGCGTCCTCGCAAGTAGATCAAGTAGTTGGTGCTTGGGGCTTGGGGGCGTTCATAGTTTATAGTATCGAAGAAAGGCAGGCAGGCATTGATTCTGGCAGATTTTGGTGTGTGTTCTGAATGCAGCGGTTAGAAGTGAAGCAATGGCCTCAAGCTTGATCAATGTAGGGCTTGTGGGTGCAATTGATATTTCGGTCCTTTGAGGGCGAATTCTTCAAGACCTTTCAGTAAGAAACCCGCCTTGACAACTCCCCTAGCCCGAAACTCTGATTCTGTCGTCCTCATAAATGATCTCAAGCATGTCACACAGGATAACGACATCCACGCCCACGGCGTCCACCACCTGTGCGATCCTCGGATCAAGCGACTTAGGAGGTTAGAACTGTTGCGGTGACTAGGTTCAGTCACAACCTATTACCTGTATTTTACACATACCCTTTTGTTTCTTGCAGCATGCATGTACGTGCAGTATCCGGTCAGGCCTGGCGTGCCCGTATACCTTTCAAACGCCGAGTTAGCTCTTGCATTGCTCGGGCCGCGAGCGGACACAGACCCGTGGAGACATCATCCCACTGGTGAAATTAGTTTGTGTTTGGTGGTATAAGGTTCGGCACTCGCTCTGGGACCAGCATGGCGAGGCCGAAACACGAACTGAAGGTCGCTGACGAAGGCTTCAATGCGGGAGCTGATTGACATGTGTTGTCCTGTGGGCGTTTTGCACCGCCGTGAACAACATTCACACGGCGCATGGAGAACCTCCGCGATGTCCTTTGGATGTGCCTCACAAGGTTTCGAAGTGTTAGCTTTGCAGAAGCCCGGCCAACTCAATGAGGGCTACGAGGATCCTGTCAGAGAAATCAGCGAAACAAATCAATCGGATTACTTGGCTGGGGTCTAAAAGTCCAACGACGCTTTTTGGTTCTTCTCACAATGTAGTTCTGTGTGTAAAGCTTTCTCGGGAGCTCACGGGAAATCGCTCCGAGGGTCTGTGGCTCCACAAGGAGCTGTTCAAACTCGTACTTGGAGATGCGCATGCCGTGCTGGTATCCTGGCACAACATCTTCGGCCGCGAACATGCCGATCAGCCCGAAAGAGCGCAAGGCAATGCAAGCCTCGCTGCCTTCAGTCTCTAGGTCCCGGTGTTGCTGCTCTTGCTGCACCACACTTTGCAGGATAATTAAGGCTTCGGATAACGGCCATCGGCCATCACTAGCATGCGTTCGGGGCTCGAAAAATCCCAAAGGCCTGAAACCCCCAAACCCTAAGCGACAGCACAGCATGGCCCCAGCCCGGCCTAGCTTGTCCATCTCCGCACGCATGGAGTCTGCAACGAAGCCCACAGCTGCCCTCTCCTACGCACTGTTTTCTAGTTCTTCGGCATGCTTTAGGCGACAAAGGGGAGGTCTCTCTATGAAATCCAATGCGGCCAGCCCCGCAGCCAGCGCTGAACACACTCGGATATGCAGTGGAACTGTGGAAGCAAGGCGGTCTTCTGCATGCAACAGCACCTACCACGAACACTGATCCAGTCAGTGGTCGTTCCCGTATGCTGAGAAGGCAACTTCCTATGTCACTACTTCTAGATGCAGAGGCGCTCACACGCGAATCCAGGCGAGGCATGTGGTTCGAGGTCTGCTTAGAAGTGAAACCATGGGAGTTCAAAACCACCTCCACAACGAAGTCCCCAACAATAATTAAATAACCTGCTAATTAGTGGTCTTCAGCTCGCCGAAATCAAGGTATTTCGACGGTGATTTTTCATGATTGAACTAGTTGCGGACTTCGGCGGACCACGTTGAGATGACTTGGTGAAGGTTTCAGGTAAGCTATCGACCCATAATGCATTTTACAGGGACAGGGGAATCCCTGGGAATGTTATGTGATCTCACTAGAATCTTCACGGTTCTCAAATGAAACTGGCAGCAACTTACCGCTTTTGACCCGTGGAAACAAAACCAAGATACATGATAGGTTGGAAAATAAAGGAATAAATAGGCATAAGAACTCAATCTGCCAAGGCGAGGATTCTATCAATGAGGAAAGCAAGTGGCAAATTACAAATTAAGTATCGAATTTATTGTAGCCAGCGCACGCAAGTTGTGAATTCGGACTAGGCGTCTTTTCACTCAACTCGGTAGTGCAGCAACACGATAAAGCTTTCAGAGTGCCATGTCAGAGGACTTGTGTATGGCCAGCTTGGGCTCGACATCATTCTCCCATCAGCCAAAAGGAACCAGCAGAACGATACCAACAGTTGTTTATCACGTGGGCATTCGCTGGGCACGCAATCAACTCTTTAGTGGACTCGCTTTCTGAGGGGCGGGCAGGTGCATGCACTGTATTGTCGAAGCAAGTCTTCACATTGATGAATTCACATTTTTGTAGTGGCAAGCCAACTCGAGCCCGTAGCAGGGCTTAAGCATGGATGCAAGTTCTGGTTTCGCTACAGGGCTGAAGGTGAGGGGCAGTTGCCGATGAGGTTGGCCAGGTGTGGCTGCTGGTGGTGCCTGCTTAGGGGGTGTCCCTCACGAACCAACATTTCGACTCCCACTTTCGAGCAACCAACATTAGGGGGCCGGGCAGGGATTCCGGCTGGCACCGCACCATCCTGGTGGGACGGCTTTTCTCATTGCAGTTGCTGTCGTAGATCGCCGAGTTGCTGCTCAAGATCACGGATCCTGTCTTGCGACTCAGGGTCTGTGGCAGCAGGAATTAGCTTCTGCTCTGCATGTCAGCCACCATCTGTTGGGCTGGGGCTTTGGTGGCAATGTTTTTTGCCTGGGAGGCTTGCGTTTGCACTGCCAAGTTGGCGGCTGCCGCTTTAAAGGTCCAGGCCCTGGCTTCTGATTTGCGACAGGATTTCCCCGCCAAGACCATCTCAGCTTTGGTGCGAGCAATAACGAAATCAGTCTATCCATCTACGCCAATAACTATATTCCATCCCTGACACAGGAGATGGGCTGGGTGCAAGGCGGTGGGAGGGACTCCGGCGAGTCCTCGTTCCCTCGCCCAAGATGATGATACAACGTACTTCGGGCAGCTAAGGTTGCCAATGCTACGTCTAGAGTCTAAGTAATCGCTGTCCGAGACCCAATCCTCGGGCAGACTGAGGGGAGGCCGTGGCCGAAGGTGAACCTCACTCCGGGCGTGGTCGTTGCTGAGGTTTGGCTAAACCCGGGAAAGACAGCACGAGCGAGTCCAGGCATGGACCCCGAAACAGTGGCGGTGAAGCGAAGACATTGCTGCGGGCCGGTGCCAATGGCCAAGGCCCTTGTTGCAAAGGAAAATTTGCAAGCGGCTGCGCGGGAGGAGGTGAGCCAGGTGGAGGCGGAGGTGTCGGCGGGAAAAGCTGCACGCCTCCTGTTGCAATTTGCCGGCATGCTTGCGTCGTTGTGTCGAAGAGGCGGTGTGCGACTGCGATACATGGTGTGAGACCGAGGCCCGAGGGAGCGCCACCTATGCAATCCCCGGTGTCCTACCTCAAGCGGCTGCGGAACAAACAAACAAGAATCAAACCAAGCCGCGCGCGCAGCTGACGCTTTGCGATCACAGTAGCAGGCCACGGTCTGGGCATTCGTACGTCGCCCTTGGACGGTGCTCTTATCACAAAGGCAAGGGCACGACGAAACCCTGAATTTGTGCATGGCCTGAGTGAAACGCCCACCGGTTACCGGTGCGAACAACACCTCGTCGGTGGGAGACGCGGGCTTCCTTCTGCTCCACACATGCAGGACTTCAAGAGTCTGGAGGTAGCTCCCAAGAGGGGTTCGCGTTCAGTTTCACCATCAAGCAGAGTCAATTCCACCAATGCCAGCTTGGGCTTTTGGGTTGACATCTTGGGCTTGGAAAATTCCATGCCCAGCGAGATCAGCCAAGAGGTAGCAGATGTTTGTAACTCCACATAGGCAGTGCCAGACTAAGACTTACATGAAGCCTGCCATCCCACACCAGCATTTTGTCAGAACAGTCAGCACGTTTAGTGTGGTCCAGTATCCAGATGCGGGGACACATTTATATGTGCAGGATGCAAGGACGACTCATCTGAATCATCAGCAGTCGCGGCAGTTGCAACCAATCCGAAACTGGAAAGGCTTGCGCCGTGGACAGCATGCCAGAAGGCTCTACCGATTGCAAGCAAGATTCGGATTAGGCACAGGAGTGCACACAGACCTACCAAACCCTGCGGGCCTACCTGCCAATCTCGCTGCAACTGGCAGGAATTGCAGCAGTCCCTTTGAAGCCTGATGAATTTTCAAAACTTGTGAATTCAGGCCCGCCACTAGGGGGACGGCAGAAGACCTCCAAGGTATCACACAGGTTCAACAAAACGACTCTGAAACGTGGCATCGAACCAACCAACTTCCCAACTTCCTTCTCCACATTCGAGACGACACCAACCACTTCCACAAGCACGCCGACCAACATGTACATCACCTGAGGCTTCAGAACACTTCTACTCAGTAAACCAAACCCCTCTCCGAGCTGACAGCGATATGAGTCGTGAAGGCCTTTTCCCCTGATGCGACGAAAGAACAGACTAGGGCCTAGGGCCTAGCGCAGCCTACCTGCCCCTTTGGAACCTGTTGCAAGCCTTACATGAGTGGCTGCACAGAGCCGTTCGCTTCTCAGACGGCCCCCTGAGGCTGAAGCCGTCACCGAGATCAGCAGCAGAAAGATGAAGACGATGGGCCACATCCTTTCTAAACAGTGAGCCCTGAAATAAACATCAAAATGATTACATGACACAAGCCTAGACGTACCTTGGCAGCTGATTGCAACCCAGCACACACTTGCAAAATATGATGTACTATTATTATACTATATCACACACACACACACACTTTGGAGGGGTGCGTGCACGGCATTATCTATAACAAGGTGCCCTGAAAGGATCTGAGAGGGCAGGAACACAAGGGAAGACATACGGGTGTAGAGACTAGGACCCAGTAGGAAACCGGTTCACAAAACAGGCGCCTACCACTAGATCTTTGCCAGGTTCAAGGCTGATGACAACAGAAGATAGCACAGCATGTTCTTATGAAGCTGGCGAGGATGTGGTTTGCTCGTGGCTACTGCTTGGTTCAGTCGGATGCCACTTTCAGTAAGTCTCTCCTGCTGACGATATCTGGTCTAGCCGGACTTGTCGTGAATGGTCTTGATAAAGACCACACAGCGCAGCGAGTTCAAATTCAGCTGGCAACGTTGCGGCCATAGGCTAAAGTACAACATGAATTCACTGGTACCATATTCAACTACTCCAACCGTTCACATACGCAAAGAAGGAAGTATGAGACGACCACAGCGCAGACGTGCCTGGCCTGGCTATACAAGCCCTAAGGAGTAAGCCCCCGACACCGCGGATGTTCCCGAAATTTCGGCGAACAAGGCCGAACTCTCCTTCGGCTCTGGACTCTCGGCTTACGAAGGGTTTAGGGAGTGGCGTTCTGATAGCAGGGATCTATATGGGTCCCCTCCTTTCCGACACTCCAAGGGTCCATCTGCACGCTCTAAAGGAAGCAACACCCTCTACCTGCCATCAGGAGTCAATGCCGAATCCCGCCCTTCGTGTCCCTCTGCGCTAATGAGATTTGCAGGGATCTCCTACGCCCACGAAATGATCACAGCTGAAGGTGCTTATCCCTCTTCCAGGTAGTAACTCAACCACTCTCCAGCAACTCCCGAACCCTACCCTGCCTCCCGGATATGTGTTCTTAAGCTTGCTGATTCTAGACCCTGACCCCCTAAACCCGAAGCTCTCCAAGTACCCGTAAAAACACGCGGGAAGAGCTCCGGGAAGAGGGACTGCACAAGCAAGGTATTCATCGAGGCGACGACCTTAGCTGCCTTAGCTGGCCTGACAAACTAAGATGGCGTTTAAAGGGATAATATCATAGTAGGGTTATAATATGCAAGCCCAACAATACTATGGGTGATGTCTGCTTTTTGTGATTTCGTTTCAGTTGACATCTCAAAGCTGTAGTATGGGAATTAAGAAGCCGCAGATAGTGGCTCGCAAGGCCTCCCCATGGGCCTTTGCACAGCCTTCGCAAAATCAAATGTCCTTTCTTCCCTGTTCCTTCCCGTGGATCTTTGGCGGCTGGCTATTGTGTTCTACGTTCCTTGGGATTTGTCTGTCTGAGGACCTCTGGGGCCCTGGGGTTCTGTGTTTGGGGACTTTGCTTTGTCCACGATTGTGCGCAGCTAGCTCACGGAAAATGGAAGCCTATGCCTGGGCATAGGAGTCACATCATCCACTTGCTTGGTATTGGGGCGACCTTTCTTGCGCCCTTCTGTTCTGAGATCTCTGCCGGAAGTTCAAGTTCCAACCGGGAACCGGGAAGTGCAATCCAGCGGCAGATCCGAAGTAAAGCGCGCCGAGCTCCTCTTGCGAGCTGAAGGCACGGTGGGCCAAATCAGGTCAAGCAGGAGCCAAGGTATGCGGGGTTTTCCCTGTCGGGGCCAGCATGTGCTTTGCATGATGGTCACTATCTTTGGGCATGTTCTCAGCCACCGGACGGCTGTCTCACAACACGGCCTCAAACGCATCGTTAGTTCCTGGACACATAGTGCCATTTCTGCGGTTTCGATGAGTGATTGCAGCATTGGTCTAGCAACCGACTTAGTTTCATTGTTTCAGCACTGGTGCAGCAGCCGACAAGGAGTAATTAGCAACATAACATGTTCACTGTAGCCTCTCTCAGCTATGCAATGCAACGTGCAGCTGAAATTCACCGGACACAGACGTTATGCGATGGGTGGTACGTGAGCTCCTCTCCATCCAAGATCTGTCGCAATGCCACGGCGAAAACATACACGATGATCACGGTGAAAGCAAAGAAGACAGAGACCTCGGACGTAACGAGAATTTCAGGCCTCGTGTAGGTGACTAGCGTGCTTCGTTTCGCATCTGACTTTTGAGGCTTCGCGGGAGGCACTGGCTGTCCAAACCCCGCTCTTTTCACGGGTGTGCGGCCACGAGACGGATCGAGCCGCAAACCCGAGGCCCTTCACGATAATCAGCAACCTGACAGAACAACCCGCACTTCCAGATTCTAGATTTCTTAGGCTTTAAGGAGCTGGAGATGCGAAGGCAGGGAATCAGCATCTTGGATGCGGCCCTTCGGCTGAAGACACGGATTGACACAAACCGAAACCAAGCGAGGCATGCAAAGCGGCAACGAAGAAGCAACGCAGACGTGCCGCTTGTCTACGTGTCTCTGCCCATCTATGTCTTGGCTCCATATATTGGCCAGGCAGCTCCGGGAACGCTTGGAGAAGTCGTGCTAGCCGGGAAAGCTTCAGAAGCTTTACCAGGCGAACCTGGTCTTACAGTTCCGTTGTACTGAAGGCTTGCGGCGACGACAGAATGTGCAAGCATCTGGTTTGTGCCATCCATGGACGAGGCAGGACTCCAGCCCAATCAAGTTGTCAGGCTATATGCCGGGCAGTTTAGATCAGTTTTTACGCACGTTAGAGTTTTGGTGTACAATGGTGTACAGCACCATCTGCAGTCACTCCTGACTTGTAAACGAGCAAACAAACGCGCGACGATGTCGCTGTGTTTTGAAGCATGCCTCGCTTAACAGGCAAGCAAATCCTAACGGGGCGTTGCAACAATGTCTGGCAGAAGTGACGAATGCCACGGCCCGCAGACAATGAACGACAATAGTGCACGAATAGCAAGAGAGACCAGGGAGAACAGAATACACATCTACAAACGGTAAAAGCCGCTAACACCTATGTGCACAAAGGGGCTTGCTTGCCCAAATCCTCACACACTCAACCGCTAACACATGTACATACATACATACATACATACATACATACATACATGAGTCTTCGTCAAACTTACTTGTTGATGCTGCTTATGCTTTTGAACTAGCGCGTCCCCTATCGTTTTCCGAGGAATTCGCCTAAGGCACTTGCAGGGACCAAAGTATTATAAGTAACCCTATCGTTTTGGCGCATCCCCTATCGATCTTGGGGTTCTGGCTCAACAACTACCCTCTACAGCTACACTAAACTACATTAACGATAATTTTGACCCCATCTCACATACATCCCGGCAGGCAGGCAGGCAGGCAGGCAGGCAGACAGACAGACAGGCATACATACATACACACATGCATGCATACATGCTTATCTATATAATCTATATAAACATATATCGCCAAACCTTTAAATATACAGGTGTACACGCATACATACATACATGCATACATGCATGCATACATACGTACATACATACTTACATACATACACACACACATATATAAATATAAATATATATATGTATATATACACACGCAAACTTGATTACATATGTGCAGACGTTTGCCTGCATATGGAAATGCCCACTTTCCCGCCGAATAAGACGGAAACAATGAAAGAAACTAACTAACGCGTCTTTACGTGCATCTTCGCTCTCTCTGCAACCACATAAATCATACTCGTGTACATACGCACAGAGCTTCTACGTACAAAACGCACATGTGTAAACAGTATGCACGCGATTTCATGGCCGGCACACGAGAAAGCAGACGTACAAAACGCACATGTGTAAACAGTATGCACGCGATTTCACACGAGAAAGCAGCAGAAACACAAGCTCAGAACAGAGACTGCCAGGTGACAGGCCAGCACCACCACCGCCCCCGCTGCCGAAACCAACAACAATAGTTACCAGAAATGCCGGAGGAAATTACGAAAATAAGAATCGCCAAGCAAGATGGATGTAATTCAGCGAGACTAACCATCCTGGCAGGAAGAGACACCAGTAAATTTTAAACGATGCCAAGTGGCCATCTTCACCATCGACACGGTTCCTCTGCTGCACAAAGAGACAACCCGCTGCGTTGGTCTTGTTGCGAGCGGCTTACACCGGCAGAACATGCGAAATCTCTATTCCGCAGACCCAGAAAGGATTGGAAGAGTTGCCAAGCCCCGAAGCCTGAAACAACTTCACAGTTGAGTTGCCCGTCTCTGCAGTGAGACGGGCATCCAAGGCCAGCCTCGCATCGCAGAGTGTTGCAGAGAGGCGAGATCTTACGTGAAACCTCTAGCAACATTCATGTGCGTCGGGGGGCCTCATGTTTCTAAGTTGGTCTTCAGCCCCAAGGACCTGTCGGTCCAGCATTAAGATTCGGCAGGCTTTCCCATGATGCGCAGCCTGATCGTGGTTTCGTGGTTTCGAGCTGCGGTCTTACGGGCTAGGCGGGTGGCTCACAGAATCTCGTCTGGCATGTCCTGACCGTGGGACCATGTGGGACCTGACGGTGCAGCAGAGTAGCATGATAAGCGGCACAATCCACGTCTCTGCGATCATCCTCCGTGAGAGCATTGCAAGGACAATCTATTCCCCGCCGGATTTCGTAGCGACCCTACTGCGGCCTCATTGATTGTGCAATGAATGACATGCCCCCATCAGCTTGCTCTGGTTGAGACGGGGCGGCTCTGATGCGGGCCTTGCTTAGCAACCAAGTCACAGAATCACCAAGCAGAGATCGAAGACGAACCAAAAGTCTCGCAGGCAATCTCTCCTCAGCGCACGCAAGCGATCGACATGCAAACTTGGGCTGGGGCAGCCCCAGAACCAGAGGTAGAGCTGAAACTCACCCATGCACTTTGGGCTCGTAGACCACTAATGTAAAGGTAAGATCCACAGAAATTTCACCAAACTTCAGGGAAATAGCCCCTGAAGTGGCGTAGCACTACGTATATGTCTGCCTCGCTCGAAAGGAGAACTGCGAAAGCCGCTGCCTCGCTGCAAAAGCAGCCCAGGCGCTTCTGTTGGAACGCACCGAAGCGGATCGACAGCTCTCCGACAAAGAAGGTAGTAAAGAGGTTCCTTGGAACAGGGTCGTGTCTGCATGGCGCTTCTCGCGTGTCGCAAGCTCACATCTGCGCAAACCACCTTGCAGGCGGACTTCTTACAGGAGTAGCCAGCTGCAACTGGAATGAGGCTATAGTTGGGCACGTGAAGCCATATTCATACATAGTTTATGGAAGAACCAATTCAACTTGTACTTCATATTGCATCGCAAGAAACTAAAGACTACTAAAGACTAACAACCAAGCTAGCTTCTTCTGGCGTCATGTCGCTCGTGGCTACATGGAACACCAGGCACAGGCTTGCATTACGTAGTTCCTTAGGCTCAGTTCATGAAGGAATCAAGAAGTTTTGATCCCTCCCACCTTCTTCGTTGAAGCCTCCGAGCCCCAGTGAGCCATAACATCGCTAGCAAAGCAAAGCTAAGCTCAAGTGTTCTCAATTGGCAAGACGAACCTGTCGTTTCCTGGAGGGTTCACCAGAGACACGGCGCCGAGCACTTCGAACCCCACAGCCCAAAACCAACCTCGTAACTCCTCTGTTTGCCAAACACAAGCAAAGATAGCCACCAAAAATTCCTTTGACCCTTGCACAAAGACTGCGAGTATGTCAGCTCTCCGATTCGAGGCCGAGATGCTCGGCCACCAGGAAGATCACAGACGCCTCCGTCAATACTGCGGCCGGGTTCAGGTCCGTGTCTACTGCCATCCTGATTTCAGGTTTGCGGTTCGGGTAGCTTTTTTCCCCCTCCTGGCTAAGTAGCTTTGGGGTTTCGGGTTCAGGTTTTCGTCGAGTTTGGGATTCAGAGCACACAGAGCTTGAGACTTCTGCTTCGGCTTAACGGAGGCTTTGGCCTAGGCGCGCGACCTGACCCAAGGGCGGCGCTCCAAGCAAGGCTCGAAGTAAGCTAGCTATTTCAACACCTTGTCGAGCCCAGCTGGAGCGCCTATAACTTTAGGCTTAACCAGCTCGAGAAAGGGTCTCATAGGCGTGTTTCAACTTTTCTCAGGCAGAATGTGGCGCCCCGCGGCCCGCGACTGTGCTTTGGCTCTCGCCGGCAACCACGTGTATTTGGGCTGTAGGGGTCTGCCGGGCAGGGGTTTCGGGTAACTTAGGGGGTTCTCTGCACTCAGTTGCAACTGCTCTGGATGTGGCTCATGCAAAGCTTGCCGAGGCGCCACACCGCGTTCAGGAAAACGATGAACAGTGTAATGTTGTCAAACCACGTGCTGCGAGCGATGCCCTGCAAAAGGTTCGTGTGATCGCGGTTTTGTAACAAACACGAAGGTAGCATCGTGACTGCAATCACGACTGTAAGGTTCAGAGAAGAACGACGGCTCTTTTCAGGATTACGGCTCGAGTGACAGCATGCTGCACAGCTGGCCTGGCAAATGCCTGTCTCCCAGTACTGGTCGAAAACACTGTACTGAGGCTTCATGGATGCCTCAGCCGCTTGTTTTGACACAATACCTAGCAGAAGTAGCAAAAACCGCGTGCAGAATCCTTGCATCCATTGCATTGGACTGACTACAAGCAGCCTGCACAGGTTGAAAGTCTGATGATGACATTCCTCTCAAGTCTTGGACATGGTGGAACATCCACCTGACGTCGGCCGTGGCAAGAACTCAAGCAGACCGGCAAACAGTGGCACCTTCACCAGATACGAAGGTGTATCAGGCAACACCTAGGGCCTCCCCGACAGCTCTGTAATCTAAGCCCCACAAAAATTTCTGAATCCTAAGCCCCATCCTATTGCACAGGCGTCGACATCCGAAGCGAACCCTCTTTGTCTGCTCTGGCCTCTGCACATGTGCGGATTCGGCATGAGCTGGCAGGTGAAACCCTGAACTTTACAATTACCGTGTAAATGTGTATATGTATATAACGCAGTTGCTGTGTGACAAGGACTCTGCATGACAACACAAATATGCATACACAAGGTTCCCGCTGAAGCTTGTTTATATTGCTTATATGATTTGATATGCTTGCTTCTCCGTCGAGTTGAGCATTCGCTGTGTTCTAATTGAACGGTGCCCTTACCCAGCCGGAGGGAGAAGATCCTCCGTGAATGGGTACCCCAGCCTTTGGGCGAAGGACTGGTATATCTGCAGCAAACCGGTGGGCATGGAAAAAACCGTGTGCTGCGCCACCTTCATGCAGCCAGCGTCGTTGGTGTGGTCTGTGTAGTTCGGCTCCGGGTGCCGATTCAAATCTGCCACGGCAGCCCAGTCCAGTGCATTTTTTCGTTGTTCCGAGCTCGCTGGCACACCTTCGAACCAAAAGTCCAGTAGCCGATTCACTTCCTTGTCGAAGCCTTCTGAGGATCCTGTCGCATTCTCGTAGCTGAGGCGCAAGGTGTCATTTCGGGGATGCTCATAAAAACCAGTCATGTTCTCTACCAGTCCCATCATGCGCTGGGCCACGAAGGCAACGCCCTCTTGGGGCCCCATTCTCTCCACGATGCCCTGGGGAAAGAACATCCTGTTCATTTCCTCCTTACCGCTGTGATGGTAACAGTAGGCAGAAGCGATCATGACCAGCGGGTTCCGGACGGGCCCAGCCACCCGAAGGCTCCTCTTCTGCCCAGCTCTCTGTAGCTCCCTCCCATGCATCTCCATGGAGTACATGTCGATCAAGAACCGGACGGAGGAACCCCAGTTGGAGCATTCACCTGCAGAGTAGCACGGGTCTCCCCAAAAGCCCAAACGATCCTTCGGTAGACCAAAGGCAGCCCAAACTGCCGAGTTGATTCCGAACATCATCTGGTTTCCACTTTTGTGAAAGCCCACGGCAAGATAGTTATGAAAATCCCACGGGAAATTCTTTGGGATCTGCTTCTGCAGCTTGCTTTTGTCTATCTGTTCGGCCTTCCTCTGGACGAGGCACGTCCCTGGCGGCCCTAGCGCAGCATCATCTACGGCGAGGCTCCGTGTCAGAATGCAGAAGCCTACCACTGCGCCAGTCCTGCCAAACATCCCCGGTGTGGTAATCCAAAGGAGCAGCTCCCGGCAACCGAACGAAGAGGGAGTCGCTCGAAATTACATGGAATTGTGCACGACATGAAGGCTCAGTGGGGTTTCTCGCGAGCCTTGAGCCATACAGGCCAGTTTCCAGACAACCCAGATGTTCGATAGACAGCATTCGAGGAGGCCCATACAGTGCATGTAGCTCTGCAGACTGCAACAAAACCGACGAACGCATAATGAGACACTGTGATTTCTAGTTCTCCATTGTGCGAACCATGAAACCGCTGCTCAGAAGTTCCCAGATGCACATGCTACACCAACAGGCTGTATCTTGAAATTCCAGGAGGGTTGGCCCGTGCTTGTAACAGAACTACACTGCGCGGTCGCAGCCCCCTTGGAATCTTCGCCGGGACCACTTGCAGCAAAGCCGCCTCTTTGGCCTTCCTGGGCTCCGGGGTCTCAGGCTTCAGGGCTTCGACTCAGCGACATCGCAGCTTAGAGATGCTCTGAGGTGGTGCCTGCTGCAGCCTAAAAGAAAACCTCACATCCACGGCGGCCTGGTTCGAGCACACGGTCTTTTTAATCACTGCGCATTGCCTTGGTTTCGGAGAAGGGTTTTGGCCTTCTCACTGGCGAGGACAGGCACGCAAATAGAGCATGTGCATGTAAGTAAAGGCCTTGCAGCTTTGGTTGTGACTTCTTGCCACAATGTCCACCTTGTGATCTACCCTTTCACTCGTGCGTGCTGCTGTCCTCCCGGCAGGCTGAGTGAACCTCATAAGAGGCAAATTAAAGTCCTCGAGAAAAAGAACCCGCTTCTGGAGTCTAAGCAGCGCAACAGGCGAAGAGGCCTCTAAAAGCTTGGCCACTTCCAGTCCCGCTGCCTTGGGAGAAAAGGTCCCGTTGCTGGACCAGGAAGAACTGTCAGGATGCCTGCTCTTGAGATTAATAGCTATGGCAGCTGTGGCTTCTGCCTGCTGTGACAGCGGTTTGAGGTCTAGGGAATGGGGTGTGCGCACTGTCCGGAGCAGCTCTTCCTGGACGCGAGAGGGCTGTGCGAAGACACTGAAACCCTGAAACCCAGGCCATGCGCCGCACAAAGCGGAACCAACATCTCTGCATGGTCTACATGACTCAAACTCAAACCTATTCCTGATAGCCCTCATGAAGAAATGCCTCGAAAAACCATCGGCGCAAAGCGCGGGCCCAGCTCTTTTACCACAAACCCCCGATTCTGCTACGAGTTTTTGTTGTTGCGGAATGATGCCTTCGCTCAGCTGAGGAGCTTGGCCTGCTCGGGGCTTCGTCCCAGCCACTGAACTCGACCGGAGTCGAGGTCGTAGACGCCTCCTTGGATTTCCACTTGGCCGGACTTTACCTTGTCGCGGATATCGGCACTTCCCTGGATGAGGTTGTTGATGGTGTTGAAGACATTCACCTTCACCGCATGATCTGCTATCTCCTTCTCCGAAGCTTTGTTGCCCAGCTCCTTGTGCGCTGTTTCTGCCACGCCAGCCAGAGCAGCCAGGAGACCCTCCAGGGCTCCCTTGCCTTGTGCGGCTCCACCTCCCTTCAAGTAGGTGGCCGTGGCACCTTTGATGGCACCGCAGGCAGTATGCCCGAGCACGAGCACTAGTCTCGTCTTGAGCGCGGCTGTGCAGAACTCCAGGCTACCCACGATGCTTCCCCTTGCTTGGGTCACTGCGTTTCCTGCGTTTCGCATGACGAAGACATCACCCGGCAGCACATCGAAAACCAGCTCCAGGGGAACTCGTGAGTCAGCGCAGCCGACCTAAGTTACCAAGTGTTTGATGTAATAAGAAGCCTGTGTGCCCAACAACTGCCAGCAGAAACAAACAAGGCCTGAGCGGCCGACGATGGCCGTGTGCGGGGCTTGGCCAATGGTTGCCAGGGCCTTTCGCATTTGCCCGTCAAACTTTCCGGCCAGGGTGTTGCCATGGACGAAGCGCTCATTGCCCTCCTTCATGATCTTCAGCGCGGCCTCGGGTGCCATCGGGGGGTCCTGCGGTGTCCGCACGGATGCACGGCCCAAAGCCAGATCCATGGAGGGAGGCAATGAAGACTTGGACGTGAGGAGAGCTGCTTGTTCCGGAGATCGGCCGAGGAACTCCACCTTGCCAGTCTCCAGATCGTAGATGCCACCTTGGAGGTCCACCTTGCCGCTGGTCACTGCATCGCGAAGTGGCTGACTGAACTTCAGAAGGAACTCCATCGTCTGGAAGACATTCACCTTCACGGCATGAGCAGCGATCTGCTCCACGGTGGCACCCTTCCCCAGCTCTGTTGCGGCCTTTTCCGCAACGCCGGCGAGGTCGACCAACAGCCCCTCCAGGGCACTTCCTGGAGATCCCTTCTCACCCTTGGCATCCTTCATCGCCAGGTATGTCTGTGTGGCACCGACGATGGCACCGCACTTCGTGTGGCCGAGCACCATCACCAAACGAGAGCCCAGCTTGCCGGTGCAGAACTCCAAGCTGCCAAGCATGGCACCTTCGGCGTGAGTGCAAGTGTTGCCCGCATTTCGGAGAACGAAGATCTCGCCCGGCATGGCATCGAAGACTGTCTCGATGGGCGCCCGGGAGTCAGCACAGCCGATGATGGCCTAAGTTACCATGTTTGCCGCCAAAGCAATCAAAGGTCTGTGTGTCCAAAACCTGACAGCAAATAGAGACAAGGCATGAAAAGCGAGTTGCGGTGTGCGGGGCCTGTCCTGACTTGACAAGGGCCGTCTTCATCTTCGCGTTTGCTGCAACGCTGGCAGGAGTGCCTGCGACGAAACGATTGTTGCCGTCCTTGAGCATCTCCATGGCCTTCTCTGGCGACACGGAGGCATCGTCGCCTGTGCGGACGCCGTGGATGCCACGCTTGGCAGCACCCGCCCTGCTGATCCCAAGCATCGAGGGGGGGATTGCCGCAGAAGCCGCACTCAGGAGCTCTGCCTGCCTGGGCGATCGGCCCAAAAACTCAACCACACCGGTGGAGAGGTCGTAGACACCTCCTTGGATGTCAATCTTTCCGCTCTTCACCGCCTCCCGGAGACCCTTGCTGTACTGCAGCAGGAAATTCATCGTGTGGAAGACGTTCACCTTCACTGCGTGAGCTGCCACGAAGTCCTCGTCCGCCATAGGACCCATGTCGTACTCTGCCTGCTCCGCCACTTCACCAAGGCCTTCCAGCAAGCCCTCCAGTGCGGACTGGGATTGTGCCGCCTGCTTCTTGCGGGCAAAGTGAGCCTTGGTGGCGCCATAGATGGCTCCGCACTTGGTGTGGCCAAGTACCATCACAAGACGGGCCCCGAGGTTGCCAGTGCAGAACTCCAAGCTGCCGATCATGCTGCCTTCAGCATGTGTGCAGGTGTTGCCTGCATTTCGGAGGACGAAGATGTCGCCAGGCAGGGCGTCAAAGATGACTTCCACGGGGGCACGCGAGTCTGCGCAGCCGACGATGGCCTAAGTCACACACCACGCGTTCGACGTGAAAGCAAGGAAAGGTCCAACAACCGACAGCAGTCAGAGAAGAGGCATGGACAGCGAGTGGCCGTGTGCGGAGCTTGGCCATCATCCACAAGCTCCAAGCGCTGGCCGTTGCTCGTGGTGGTAGCCTGGGGAGTGCCCTTCACGAAGCGCTGATTTCCCGCACGGAGCATCTGCATCGCCTCGCCCGGCGACACGGAAGCGGACTTGGTCGTACGCACCTTGAGATCTGCCATCTCTTGCAACTGGTGGCCTGAAGGGGCAAAATCTCGCAACGGTGATTTGGTTTTAAAGGCTTGCGCCCAAATGGCTTTTCATTGAATCGAGTCTTGAACTCCCATGTCAGCGTGACTCTGTCTTGGAAATTTCGCGTCGCGGTACTTCAATTCCACTTCCGACAAAGCGTCTGGGCCAGGCGGTCTGCGCCCTTCATCACCGCAGGAAGCTGCGTGCGCATCCGTTTGGGCACCTTGCGAGCTGAATCCTTTGAGGGCTTGTGAGACTTCTTAGCCCTCGGAAGTTCCCAATAATGCGAGAACAAATCCACGGTACCAACCTGCTTGACTACATGGTTGCCGGCATCAGCCGAATGTTAACCAACCGCCAGTACAAAGAGTTCGGGGAATGAAAGAACTGTGAGTCGCGGCGACAGCGCAAACAAGCGCACAAACAAGTGCAGTAGCAGGCCCAGTGACAACAACGACTATGAGTTGAACAAGGGTTAAGACTTTCATCAGCAGTATCAATGCAATGATGATCGTACGGCGCGGACGAAAGCAAAATACACCCATGCCACAAAAACCAGCCACCCAACGCACCCACACAGCGCTCCGTTGCTCGAGTTCACTCCGAGTGGCCGGAGGCTTTTTCTTCTTCTTCGACTCCTTGTCTTCGAAAACCACAGGATCCTCAAAGGGCGAGCTTTTGCACTCACGGTGTAGCTTTAGAGTCTAGGGGCGTTCGGCTTTTGGGCCGAGGGCTCATTGGCTTCTCGTGCTTGCGCTTGGTTTTTACCGGGCTTCCTCCTTTTGGACCCTGCTGGGCTACAATCGGGATTTAGGCAGGACAGTTTAAGGTTAAGGCACATGTACGTGTAGGTGTAGCATAAGGAGTGCAAGAACTAGACATGCGAATAAAATTGGCCCACGACCCTGACCAAAATCGCATGCCTGAGAGTCTAAGTCTAGCTCGAGCAATAGATCCTTGTCAAAGCATGAGCACACCCATCTCTTATTCCAACTCCATGCCAACGACAAAGACTCACATGGCTTGAGACGTTCCGTGTGCCGACGAGTATACTACGCTGTTGCTTCCGTTCGAAACTCGCATTGGTGCTTCACTATTTTATAGCCACGCTGTAGTTGGGTCTCGTTATGGTGGCAAGCTCGTCATACAAAGGTTTGTCACTCTTTACTCTTATCCTCACCCGGCTTCAGAACTCCAGAACTGCAAAAAAAACGTGGAGTCAGAGACAGGTCCGTCTGAGTCCACACGGCCACGCATGGTGGGGCTTCCTCAGATTCTCACAGCTGCGTTTGTGTTCCAAAGCTGGCCTCTTTCAGCGATGCGATTGTGTGATACATCCGCGAAAAAGTGCGCAGCAAAAAGACTAATCTCTATGTAGATGACTCAGTGCTATGTGCTATGCACTGAGGAGTCCTCACATGGTCTGTGCAAGGCCGAGGTTCCGTCTGGGTCTGAAACCTTGCAATCAAGGACGCTGAAATGCACATGCCCACTTCTGGCTTGAGGGTCGCACAGCCGACAGCAAGCCTTGAACTGAGCTGAGTTGTCTTGAGATGAAGCAGTTGATCTCATGGTGCGCATGAGCGCTATCCTGACCCGTGAGGCTGCACGCTTCGGCCACGGCTTGCGCATGCCCTGGTTTCAGTCCAGCATTCTACGAGTATCCTGCCTGTCCCTCTGACCCTCCATCTGACCCTAAGCCCGACCACCTTCATCCCTTGCAATTTGGCTTTTCTGGTACGCGCTGCCTGTGATGCCTGCTATTTTGTTTTTCTGCAATGCGGATCGCCAAGGCCTCCCGCATGCAGCCAGGACGCTCTCGTAACCGTCGAGTCACCTTGCATGGAGGGCCGACTGGGGTGAAGGGCCTTATGCCATATCGTGCTTCAGCACGCTACAGTACGGGCCTTCAAGCATCGTAAGATTCGAACGAAGTGAAACCCTCAGCCCTGCCTTGGCCTGCTTGGCCAGGCTCTGCAGAGAGCTGAGCGCTGGCGCTTCCGGGCTGGGGCCTCAGGACTTCTGGAATCTGGGCGTCAAGGCGTTCTGGTGTTTGGAGCATAGAAAGCCTTCGGCATAGTAAGGCTGCGACTAGCCGCTTCCATGGGCATGATCACAGAAGATCTCGACCGGTCGTTCACCTGCGCACAGCACAGCGATGCACTTGGGGAGCGCGAGATCTTGGTCAGGCCTGGCACTCTTGGAGCTTCTAGCAAGCGTGACACCGAAGCGACAACTCGCCATGCTACTGCACCCAAAATGACAAAGCTGCGGCCTCGGAGCACGAGTTAAACAAAGTTACGTCGTCTTTCGCCTACCTCACTTTTTGGAGCAACGACGACAAACATGAACCCAAGGGGCTCTCTACCTCAAACCATAGCCATACCCTACATTCCTAAAGCCCTAAAAAGTCAAAGTCTTTGCGCACTTCCTTTCGATTCAGGAATTTAATGATTAGCATCTACCTCAAAGCATGCCCTAATTTCCAAAAGCCCCAAAAAGCCTTATAACCATAACGCCTTAAATTCTCAGGCGCACTATGACAAAACCGGACCCGCTTCGTGTCGCGTGGACCCGCCTTGTCGGCCAGGACCTGCACAAAGTCTAACCTGGGTTTCAACTCGAGCAACTCGCACGGGGCAGGCAAATGAAGGCAGGGCTTTTGCCAAGATTCAGGGCTTTCCGCGCTCACGCTCGGACACTCCACCCAAGGCAGTTCGGGCGTGTATTTCTTTAACATGGTCCCAGCTTGCCTAGCAGTCGCCGGTCTGGCGGACTTCAGGGCCATTCAAGTGCGGGGCTTTTTGCTGCGCCCAGTTGCTGCAACGCTTGCTGGATGCGCGAAATCTCCGCCAGCACGGTCCTTGCCGACTTAAAAGTTGGTCCTTTTGATGCCATGTTCTACTGCCAGCTGGATGCCGGGCCTCAACCCGTCAACGTGTCAAGGGGAGGGCATCTGCACAAGCTAAACTGGGGAGATGTGGTCCTCATGCTGCTTTCCCCGTGCTCTGTGCTCTGAACGAGACTTTCTGTACGTCTGACAGAAAGCTCTTACCAGACTACCGGGGGTGACCTGTGAGTCAAACCACAACTCGAAAGGTTTCAAAACTGTGTCCCCCACCAGGACCTAAAATAAGGAGGAAAGGATTAACTGGACTTGTCCGGGTTCAGGTCTTGCCGCTCCAAAGTTGCTGCTAGCTTGAGGACGCATCATCTGTCCTTTCCTCTGTCCCCGTTCCCAACACCCGCCTGTAGATTTTGCATGCACCCCGATTCTCTGTCTCAAAGCCAGAAGCCCTGAGCTCCTGAAATCTGCATCCGCTTGCTTCCGACCACGGTAGATGTCCGCTTGCACCTGCTTTAAGCCGGCGGCTTGTGGGAAATCCACCGGATCCTCTTCGGGCTTTTGGGGAATCTACGGAGTTTCCAAGCGTTTCCAAGTCTGACAATTCATCGTATGGTTCAGGACTAGAAAGTAGATCTGTGCACTTCATCACAAAGAGGAAACAGCGGAGCTGGGGTGCTACATGTTCCCGCGATGAGCAAGTCTGTGGTGAAGACTTGAAAGCCGCACCCTGACACAGATGGCAGCTGTTCAGGGTCTACCACCAGGGTTCGCATCATCCACCGCTGCTCCAGGAATTCTCCCGAACACGCAAACACGCACAGAACCTCTCAGCTTCATGGCAAACCTTTCCTGTGCCTCGGAGAGGTCGATATTCAGGACGCTCTCGCGCACTTCGGCGAGATGCTCCAGCACGCTATCTTCGAGCAGCCTTGGGCAGTTCTTGAGCACGTTGCGTAAACGACATCTGGGGATGCAGAAAAACTTTTCTTGAGGGCTCTGCGACGGCTTGGCAGGCAGCAACAGCCCTGCGCATGTAGCTGGTGCTAAGAAGAGGATGCCAAAACAGCTCTGGGGTTGAGATTGCATGAAATGGCCTTTCAAGCAAACGGCTCGAGAACCTCTTGGAAGCTGCATGCCGCGTCTCTGCTCTCCCCCCTGTGAGCTGCTATGTACGGCACTGAACTAGCCTGACTGTGCGGTTGAAGCCACAAAGCTGCACCTTGTACCTGCGTGAAATCTCTGCCTGCCGCCAAAGCTGCGTCCCCAGCTTCTCCTGATAGCGAACCTCCTGCACATGCAGCGAGTCGAGCTCCCTGGCGAGTGCAAAGTGGCGGAGGGCGTGGGCTGTCAGGGGAACCACTTGGAGCTGGAGGTTGTGATGACTTCGGGTTCCTCGACTCTCGACATCAAAACATAATTACCTTGTCTTGCGGGGAGAGCGCAAAGCATAAATGTTGAGATGTCGGCTCAGGAGGTGCTGCCTCCACAGCACACCCCTCTGTGGGACTCCTTCCCGGACCCGCTACACCTGTGAACCCCTACACCGCCTAAACCCGTGTCTTCTATTCCAGAAACCCGAAGCCCCGAACCCTCAACCTCCAAGGCCATACAGAAAGCCAGCCTAGTGAGGCTCGGACTTGCTCTGCAGAAAACCCAACACCACAGCACGTGGCCTCGCAATCCTGCCCGCGGCTCCGAGGAGCGCATCGGAGGCATCTGCCGGGGTTCAGGGCTGGGCTTGGCTGGGCGTCGAGGCTTCAAGGCGTGGGCTCAGGATTTTTGGCTTCAGCATGACCACAGCACCTCGTGCCTTTGCAGAAGGCTTTTCCTACAAGGCTTAAAACGGCTGAAATTGGCTATGGGACACCTGATGTATGGTGTGAACGCTTTATTTGAGAGGGGTCGCTGAGGTCTCGCAGGGTTGAGGAATGAAGAAGGTTTCGGCTCTCAGCAGTTGGACAGTCATGTGATCTGTGCAGGCTCGGAGTTTGGGCTTACAGAGCCGTGAAGGATTAGGGCACTCTCGAGCTGTCGCATGGTGAAGCTTCGGCCTGAAAGCTTCGAAACAGTACCGGCTAGAAACGAGCTAAACTGCTAAACACCCTCTGCTTCCTTCAGGGCCTTTTCCTTGCAGGGGTCTGCACCATCTGTCTTCGAGACATCCTTGCTGTATGACTTGCTAAAGCTTGCTTGCCCGGACCATAACGCAGCACATAACCCTCACGAGCAAACGGTGCCGCACCGCAAAGTCCAATCATCTTCTCCACCGAAACGTCCTGCTTTTCTGCCTGGGTCGGCACGGGGCTGCAGGAGACAGGAGACCGATCCAGAGAACAACGTCGACGAACAGCAACATCGATGGTTTAGTAGAGAGCTGAGCTCTCAGCCACGATTCAACCAAACAACCACAAGCATCACACCAGCTCTGCTGAGCTGTCAAGGCATACCTGCCCCTGCTGCACAGTCTGCGTGAATAGTTCAAAACCTTAAACCCCATAGATTGCAACTCCAACCCACCGAAAGAAAACATGTCCCGGTAGCCATGCAGTCCAGCAGCCAGGCGTGCCACTTTATCGTCAAGCTGCCGCACCATCGTCGCAAGCTCGGAACCTCACCCGGCTCTTCTGCTTTCGCACGTGTAATGAGCATCTGTATGTATTGTGTGAGTGTGCATTCATGTAATGCAAAAGGCCGGATTAGTGTGGGGCCTCTCGATAAAGCAAAGTTTGAAAAACGTAAAGCCACTAAAATCCCATAAATTAGTTTTGGTGTCCCCCTATAATGAAAAGCTTTTCGTTTTTTGGGGGGGAACCCCCCAATTACACTGATCCGGCGTTTACATCACATGCATAAACAAAGACACATACTTCACTATTTTTGTCATTACTTATACATCTACATACAAAGCGTCTGAAGTATCAGCACATGCAACAGCATGTACTATAAATATAAGTATATATACTTATATAACATATATATATATGTACTTATATATATATATGTGTGTGTGTATCAGATATTCCACGCCTGATGGTCCTGCATCGGCTCTGTATGCAATGAACCTATGAACCCACAAGACGTTCCGAGACAAGGCCTACAAACCTGCACTAGCGGCTATACTTATCTCTTGCTGTTACATACTACTACGATTACAGTGCTTGTTCTGATCCAACTCCAGTCTTCGCGGAAATGGAACCGGATATGCAGCAACCGCCCTTGCGCATCGCAAGGCCTGAAGCGTTGATTTTCAGGTCGACCTGGCGAGACCGAACAAATCTCCTGGGGGTGGTTGCAGGTTTAGAATGCCTTCTTACTGCTTCGGGTCTTTACAAGCGCCCAACACAGGGCCGACGGACTGCCCTTGGTGTGCAAGGGCCCAGGCTTTGCAGAGGGTTTCGACTCTGGCTTCGCGACAAGCCGTCCAACTAGCAACTGCTACTCAGTCCAGGACCCATGGACCATGAACCCCACCATACGATGGCCTGGCTCAGCCGATGCCCCAGGACGGAGGACATCTCACGCTGCTCTCGCCTCGGATCCCCGGCTCAAGGCTCGGCTCGGCCGAGTTTCAACACTCCACACCCGGAAAAGGAAAACAACTCCTGGTACACAAATAAAGTACAGGCGACCTTCGAACAAGTTCTCAAATAAAAACCGTACATACATGCGCACATGCATGGACATAAATCATCACACAGACACACACACACACACACACACGCACACTTGTTGTTTCCATCTAGCTGACGGCATATTACCTACTTTTTCCGCACATGAATCAACATATGTGCTTGTTTTATCGCTGCTTATGTCTACAGTTGTGTGTGTGTACAGTCAGATACACCTGTACATGTCAGCAGAGAGCGAGAGAGCGAGAGAGGGCAGGCGACTGTATATAAAGAGAAAGCGAGAGATCTGCGGAAGCTATCTAAGGATTTTAAAGCATCAAGGGCCATAAGTGTAGAGTAGTATAGCATCAAGGTATGTTTTCTTACTCCTTGAGAACTGTTGAGATTTAGCGCACTGGCGTTCACCAGATAGGGTTGACATAGGTTTAATTGGAGATGTTTGCAACATCGGGTGAGGCAGGGGGAACTCTGTTCTCTCTAGGGAGGTTTATGATAGGCTGCAACCAGACACAACTCCATTTTGAGATTATTCACGGATAAGCTTTCAGTGAAAGTGAAAGGCTCAAGCTTACACGACTTGTCATAAGGTCTCGGCCTTGCAGGATGCAGAGACATCAATCGACCCCGGGTGCGAATTGTGCGAAAGCATCTTGTACCGGCGTGAGGCGTGGGTGAGACTCTGAAACCCGATTCTCCGGTATCTGGGCTCGCCCTGCAACATTTGCAAAGGGCCCCGCGCACTGACGTCAATCTGATCTATGACCTGGCAGGACGAAGTGAGTGAGCGAAGCAAATCCCTAAACCTCCCTAGACATTCATCTCTGCAGCCGCCACCACCACCACCACCACCACCAGCCCAGCAAACCTAGACCAACCAGCACAACGTCGTCGGTTCAAGTTACTGAAGCAGTTTTAGAGCCAAGCTCTTCAAGAATGCCTGACAGGCACTATCGCAAAGCGAACGATGCGCTTCGATGCGACAGAGGCAACAGAGGACGTCGGGTCTCGAGCTGTATATATAACATGCTGATCTAGGTTCGGGGATCCGGCAAATGTGGTTTCATGAAAGCTGACCGGGCAAAGGCAACAACTTGATCGATCTATAGGCTGCGAAGGATTCGTCATGATGCTAGCCAACAGCCATGCGTCCGCACCCAGAAGGAGCCTTTGTCAGCCTCAACATCTCTACAGACTCTACAGGCCCGCGAACCTATTTGCCTCCCCTCCTCCCCGCGGCGCGCCGGCGAGAAGTCTGGCTGTGGTGGCGGCACGGCAGCCAAAGCAGCGAGTCGGGACAGCTGGTCCTCAAGTACTGAAAATGTCAACTCTCGTGCCGGGAGGGGTCGGAAGTCTTCAGATTCGATGAAGTGCGGAGCTCAAGGCCTTCTGGTCTTCTCCACCCTTTGCAAAGAATGGCCGAACCACAGACTTGGCATCAGGCGCTCAGCACCTTCATCTGCTGGGAGAGTGGGGCTTCGTGCGTCCTCGCGGCAGCAAAGGTGTGCTTAACCTCCATGGTGTGCAACATCCAAGCAAGAGACCAGAAGCCACAACTCGTGCCAAACTCAGAATAGCAAGGTCACTTCAGGTCACCTAAGCACAATACAGCTGTTGTATGTACGCAGCTTGACTCTGCTCAATCTGGAAGCCCGTACTTTCGGTGCAGCCACGCCCTGTCCTGATGACTTCCTGAGGCAGCAAGCTGGATTCAAGGATTCCGCAGATTGATCTCTAACACCGCACCTATGCTGAAGTCTTTCTAATCCGATATTGACCACGGGTCCATGTGAATCGACGGCCAAGTGTAATTACTTGAAAACGTTGTGCGGGGCGACGACTCGCAATAGCAGCTGCAGCGGCATTAGTAGTCGTGGCATCCGTAACGGTCGCCTTCGAGGCACATGCAGCAATTGGCAAGCAACATCACCAAAATCGAGATCACGATACTGACAGAGCTGAACTACACAATAAGAACCAACAACACGTTACTAACAACAATGGTATGTAGAGGTAACCAACCGCAGCGGAAACCACAACAATAGCAGTACCTTAGCAGGTTGCTGCAGGAAGGGGCGGTACGGGGAGCGGTGGGGGTGGGGGAGGGTAGATGTAGGGGGGGCAAAATATTCAACCGCACAGAATGATTTTTCAAAGAGGATAGGGTGTCATACCTTCGATTCTCAGTGGCCGAACAGTACGCAAAAAGCGCAAACCCAACATCAGACCTAGTTCGAAAACCTGCACAGGTCCATTCCAGAGCCCTCAAGGACCCTTCCTACTAAGCCGTTATCTGAATCCGCCAACTCAGCGCACAACTCCAAAGGTAGCGCTCGCCAAGACTCGGCGACCTCCGTGCGGAGTGCGGCGACGGCCGACCTGAAGACATCCGACGGGCGTACGACGCTACGAAGCTGGAAGGTGCAGCAAGAGGACGCTAACTTGCTCGGCTGCAGCAGTAGTAGTCGTCGTCGTAGTAGTAGTAGTGGTGTAGTAGGAGGAGGAGGAGGAGGAGCAGGGGTCGTCGTCGTCGCGGTCGGCGTAGCAATAATGGAAGCTGTAGTAGTAGCAAGCTCTGTGGCAGAAGAGCCAAGTATGTGCACTGGCTCAACTCTGGAATGGCATGGACTTGGAACCAGCCATCCTGAACAGATAGTTCGTCATTCTGGCACGGGATGACGACATGCCATGCTTTCATCCCGAGCCACCCAAGCAAAGACCCATGCATATGTCTAGTGCCTCAAGGCTCTAGACCAAAGAAAACGCGTTCATCGCAAATGTGAACTGTTCCTTGGCGAAGTGCAGGTTGGACTCTCGATGCACCGTAACAGCATTCAGAGGTGTGTGCGCCTCAGCTCGTTCTTCACCTCTTGCTTGAGCTCGCCCGTCATGATCTCGAGCTTGGCCAAGAAGCCTAGCAATGGCCCGGGCCCGCCCCGATATAAGGCTTTATTAACATGCTTTAGTAATATGCTTTTAACTTTAAGCCAACATGTGTAGGAAGATGGGGATTTTGCGGCTGCGCGCATGGGTCAGCCTCACACACCTCCTGCGGCTGTCCGGCACGTGAAGCTTCTGGATTGCGACTGGACTGACACGCACAGCTTGCTCTCAACTGGGAACTCCCGAACTTTGAGCCCTATAAACTTAAAACTCTAAAGCTGCCCGAAGTGGCAAAACCCGGCCTCGCTTGCACAGGTCCAGGACATCGTGCCAGGCAGAATTCTGACTTTGTGTCCGGGCCTTCTCTGTGCCGTCCTGAGCTCCGCGGGATGCGGATTGCAACGTGCAGGGTGTGGGTTCTTCTGGGTCTGGGGTCGAGGCCTCGGGTGACAGTTCAGCAGATGGTGATCTAGCATCGGGCGCGGGGGGTCTGTAAGTTGCGCAGACCCAGTCTTGGGCACCACTGCCGTGACAAACAATCCATCCAGTGCTCGCACGCCCGCAGCCATGCACGGCTGACTTTTCTGAACCTAGGCGACTCTTACCCGCACCATCTTTGGGTGCATCACGACCGTTTCACTGTCCCGCTGCGCGGCCAGGGCCGAAAGAAACGCCGAGAACCCCGAAGAGATCCACAGCCATCGCTCAGTTCCTCTGGCCACCGATATTCCGAATCATGTTGCTACATCGCTGCTCAAACTGAAGATAATTCGTGGATGCAGCTGTCTCGCCTTACCAAAGATTCAATTTGGCCCTAAGAGACATTCGAGCTCACTGGTGGTGGACCTCGGGTTCCCGCCTGTTGCACACTTGCTCCCTAGGCTGCTGCTCTGGTGTAGGGCTTCACGTTTTGCTGATTTAGTCCGACTGCCGATGTGATTCGATCTAAGTCGTGCGTTTCCACATCCTTATACCAGGGCAGCATGACTCGCAAGCAGGGTGTGCAAGAAACCGATGCCACCGTCGCACGACTTGTGGAAGACTGTCGTCGGCTTCAAGGTAAGGCACCCTAAGCACTTGCTGGCACCAGCTGGCAAAATGCTTCAGATTCGAAGCCGGACCCTGGTATCAGGCTCTAGAACCCTTGTGACTACAGCAGCCTCCCGCATCGCTGTAATGCTGGAGCCTGGGCAATCATCGCCACAACTCGCACGATGACTTGGCAGAAGCTGCGAGCTTTGCAGGGTTGCGACAGTTTCTGAGCAAAGCTCTCCACCACGTACACTACCGGAGCTCCAATCCTGTACTACTACTAGCAGCTACCACCACCACCACCACTACTACTCCTCTTGCTGCTGCTGCTGCTGCTCCTGCTGCTACTGCTACTACTACTACTACGACTACTACTACTACTACTACTACTACCACTACCACTACCACTACCACTACCACTACCACTGACTACTGCACCAGTACTAGTACTAGTACTAGTACTAGTACTAGTACTAGTACTAGTACTAGTACTAGTACTAGTACGTACGTACTACTACTACTACTACTAGTACTAGTACTGCTACTACTACTACTACTACTGCTACTACTACTACTACGACTACGACTACGACTACGACTACGACGGATACGGCTACGGCTACGGCTACGGCTACGACTACGACGACGACTACTACTACTACTACTACTACTTCACTTCCACTTCCACTACCACTGACTACTGCACCAGTACTAGTACAAGTACTAGTACCTACTACTACTACTACTACTACAACTACTACTACTACTACTACAACTACTACTACTACTACTACGACGACGACGACTACGACTACGACTACGACTACGACTGCGACTCCTACTACTACGAATACGACTACGACTACGACTACGACTACGACTACGACTACGACTACGACTACGACGACGACTACTACGACTACTACTACTACTACTACCACCACTATTACTACTACTACTGACTACTGCTACTAAGCAATGTTTACTAGGCCTGCTACGAGTACTACTATTACTACCACTACCACTACCACTACCACTACCACTACCACTACCACTACTACTACTACTACTACTACTACTACTACCACCTAAGCGCGCCTCCAGGCGCCTGGTGTTAACCTTGCTTCTTTAGCCGTTTTACTCGGTATTTACAGTACTTTCGTGATGGCGGGGGGGGGGGGGGGGGGTGGGGGGGGTGATGACGACATTGGTACGCAGACACCCCGAA